CTCTTAAGTATATCAGAAGACCATGGAAACAAGGCCTTATGTCCCCCCCGCAACAGTGCCACCATGTGTCCTCAGAAAAGGAGCGTTCCTGCTTTCCACAGCTGCCTCATCCATCTCAGGAGATCTGTCTCCCCCTTTCTCTATGGATTCCTGTATGCCACTGTCCCCAACATCTTCTCACCCATCATTCATCAGCCTGCTTTCAGTGGCCTTATTTCCCAACAGCAGTGTTTGCCTTTCTCTAGTCTATTAGGCCCTTTGAAAACTGTGTTCTGACCAGAAAGAACTGCATACAGGCTCATAATCAATTCTGGTATGTGGGCTCTGGGCCTAATACCCTCCAAAGCTATCTCACAGATGCCTAGGGAGTCCCCAGTGCTTTACCTGGGCCCTTCTCTTCCTCCAGCTTCACCTTCAGTGTGACCCACTTACAACTCCTCCAGCTGTGGCAATCTTCTCGATCGCAGGAACACAGAGCTTCCTCCTCCTCAGCTGAGGCAACTCTCTCTCTCATCCACCGCTGAACCATCTTGAAGACTCAGCTCCAATGTCCCCTTTCACCTTGACAGCAGCATGTTGCCTTTCTCTGGGTGTTACCAGCCCCTAGCCAGTGCTGGAGGTTAGAACGTTCTGCTCCTCCTCTCTGAGCCCTGCTACACCCCCAGTCCTGCAGCCCCGACGCAGATCCATCTCCTTCACTCTAAATGCCTCCTGTCTCTCTCCAAAACAGTCATCCCACACGAAGGTTTGTAACATTTCAAATTACTTGAGCTTTTCTAAAGTTGATTTGCTTATCTTTCCTTCTTTGCTTTCAATTCCATTATTTAAACTCATCTCAAAGAGCTCTTGTTGCTCTTGCTGCATTCATGTGGAAACGATCAGGGCAAAACCATAACAGCAGGTCCATTCCACAAATAGCAAGGACGGGTTAAAAGCCACTGCAAATGTATTCTATCTGGACAACAACTGACAGACAGGAAGACTAAAGTGGAGTCTACCTTCATTGTTATGCAGCACATACAACTGACACTTTGCATTTCTACTTTACCCAGAAAAATCAAAATCAAAACATCCATGCTAAGCACTTATTTTGATGCTGGAGAAGAGGCCAAATTTCTATTTTACTTAGTGATTACAAAGAGTCCTACATAAATTCTATAAAGCTGAGTGGTGTTGCCCTCGGAGGATCTATAAATAGTAACAAAGTATTCATTCATCCCCCTCACACAAGAAAGTAACAGAAGTTAAGAGATTTCTGGGTGTGACTGACCGCTATTGAATACCCAGCACTGCCAAAATCCACAAAATGCATTTCATCTGAATTCCAATTTGAGAAAGTCAAACTCTACACTATGGAAATCCAGGGCTGGCTGTCCTAGCACTACACTAGGGATATGCACTTCAATAATCAAACAATTTTAGTTAAACTCCAGCCTAGTGGTTATAGGCAAATTAAATACCTCTCATATTTGAATGGCTCCCATCCAACTAGATCTTGGAGGGGTATTATAGTCAATTATTTTGTGTGTGACAAGATTTTATACCCGGGCTATCCCTTTTTGCTGTTCTCTGTCATTCGGGAGAGCTGTTCTAAGGATGCACTGCTGAGGATGAAGGTCCAAACTCCATGTATGGTCCACCCCCTTGATTATTATAAAGTCTAGCTCTAGCATTCAAAGACCCAGAAGAAGGAAGGAAATAATTCAGGTGACATCCATCAAGCTCTACACACTGTGCATCAGACCATAGATCCTAACCTCTGGGCACAGAGACTCACAGAGGTCACAGGACCTCTTCACATGGGACCTCTCCACAGGAGCCACACGGTGCTGGTTATACCCATGGTACCCTCTGAAGCATCATCTGTACACAGCCATATTAGCACAGATAACCTATTGCCCCAGCCACTGCTACTGGACATGAGATTAGTGCTTAGCCCTTATCTGGGAACCAAGGGGACGCCCACTATGTAAAGGTGGCTGCCAAACCAGTGTGCGCTTGTCTTATAAAAGAAAACAAGACTCTAAGGAAGGCAGAAGGAAGAAGCAGCATCCCTAAGACCCGGACAGAGAGGAGCCACAGGGGCCACAGGGGCCACAGGGACCACAGGGAGCAGGGGCCAAGGTGCACTCTCAAGGACCAGATCAGCAGAGCTGACTTAAAAGGATGCCGGGTTGGCGGAAAGGGATGCTAGCATGTGGGTCTGGCAGGCAGACACTTTCAAACTGTTTAATTAGTATTCATAACTATTAAAGAAAATGGTCACTGAACCAAGATCAAAACTATCCTATGACTATAAATCACTGAATATAGAAATCGTGACGATGAAATCATTGTGATCAATACTTCAACAGAACATGTCCAGTGGTTTCAGTACTATGCAGACAAAAACACTCATTTTAGGAAAGTAAGGTTCTGATATCCAATCTACATTAGATGAGGCCACAATAATCCCTTAGCATCATTTTCTGCTACAAGACACACAGAGTGAGCAAGACACAGTACTTAAAGTTTGTTTTTCTAACTCCAGTGCCCAGGTTAGAGCAATGAAACCAGAAACTTGTGGATGCCCAGACAATGTAAAAGCTTCCCGGGTATTTCTACCACACAGCCAGGGATAACGATCCAGGACTCCAGACCAGGATCTCAGAGAGTGTCTTAAGGATCATCAGCCTGAACAGGGCCCTGGAGCTTTAGGATGAAAATTACCAGTGCCTCCTCGGCCTGCTGAAAGAGAAGTTCAGAGGGTGGAATGACAGCGCCCCATGTAACTGAAAACCAGCCCCACAGGTATGGCGGCGGAGCAATTTCCTCAGTAAAGACATAAAAAGCACACTTAGGTCCTAAGGAAATTAGAGCACATGGATAAATAAGCAATCAAAGAGATTTATTTAAACCTTTAATTACATAAAATCAAGATACAAACAAATATATGCTTAAAATCATAGGGAGGAGCAGGCATCATAATCACAGTCATGGCAGCTTCTGATCATTGGAGTCCAATGTTTTATATTAACAACCTTGAAAAAATACATTTAAGCAAGGCATGCCTTTAATCCCAGCACTTGGGAGGCAAGGGCAGGAGGATCTCTGTGAGTTCAAGGCCAGCCTGATCTACATAATAAGTTCCAGGCCAGCCAGCACTATACAGTGAGACACTGTCTCCAAAAAACAAAACAAACGTTTAAATTGTAGTGTCTGGGTCTCTACCACATATTGGATGCAAAAATTTAATAATAAAATCTTAACATTAATAATAGAAAATAAAGTTATTTCTGTGGGATCAAGGTAAGAAAAACCTTAAGACAAAAAAAGTGAAAGTCTTTAGTAAAGAGACTGATAAACATTTGAAATATCCATAAAAAACTTCATAAGAAATATTTTTTTTAAAAGCCCAGGACAGTGAAAAGATACTTAGAACACACCCAACAGACAACTGTCAGTGGAGGAGAACCAAGACCTGGCACAGGTCAGCACACACACCCAACAGCCCGCAAGGACTGAGCCCATAGCCAGAGTGCTGCAGGAGAGAGAACTCAAAACCATGGGACTAAGGAAAGTGAAAACTTCAACAATGAGAGTGCAATTTGTCAACCTATTAATTCCATCAGTAAAGAAACCCAAAAGTCCATAAACATCAAAGCACTCCATTCACTGAGTGTCAAGCGTGCTTACAGCTTGAGAGAATCTGGAAAAACCAAGCCAGCTTATCAGCCTCCACCTCCCGGACATGCACGAGCATACATACAGGAAGAGCTGGAGAATGCCGCTCTCCAGATAAGGAGAATAGAAGCTTTTTTTTCAGTTTTGTGATTTAAAAAAGTGGAAACCACCTAACTGTCCATTAGGTGAGACACAGGAAAATGAAGCAGGGTTCATTTATACAAAGCCATGCGTCACAACAGTTCCGAGAAATAACTCAGACCCACGTGGAATACAGTAACTCTCAGAAAAGCAACTAAAATCTCAAGTCCCAGAATGACAGGTGATTTATACTGCCATCTAAATTATTTTTTTATTTTTTATTTTATGTGTATGAGTGTACTGCCGGCATGTATGTATGTGCACCCATGTCATGCAATGCCCACAGAGGTCAGAGAGGGCATCAGAGCCTCTGGAACTGGAGTTACAAACAGCTGTTATCTGCCATGTGGATGCTGGGAACTGAACCCAGGTCCTCTGCAAGAGCAGTCAGCGCTCTTAACTACTGAGCCACCTCCCCAGCCCAAAATTCCTAAAACCTTTGAGATTATGCATTTGCTAATTATTGCACCATTTATCTATGCAAAATAATTTTACAATAATCTATATGGAAACACACCAAACTCATACTAGAGATGAGGTTGCTTCTGGGGGGGGGGGGGGGG